CAGATTAATCGGCAACATTGTTAGAGAAATCCAAAGAGGAACCATTGAAGGTTCCCATCCTAACTCCAACCCAGGCGTCCATTTCAGAAATCTTAGAAGAAAATCCTTGATAAAAACAACCTCTCACAGCCAAACCCTTAGATATTCATCCTCATTTTCAAATTTGAGAAGCACATGCCTCGGATCTAATGCAGTAACAACAATAGCTTTTTGGAGTCTAAACGTACCTACTAGAAATTCCCTGATCTCTACAAGGGAAAGGCAACCATATGAGCATTTTCCAACCAGTGCGAATTGGAGAAGGGAGAGAGATTTGTCAATATCTTCTTCTGAAAAAACTACCGCCGGTTCTCCCCACTTGATCGTAGGTACCTTCAAAGGAATATCCATCACCGGTGGATCAAGAATAGTAGGAAAAGGATTCGCAGAGGCAACAACCACCGCCAGTGGATCAACAACCTCATTTTTATCAATAAATTTAAATATAGAGGGGTAAATTTTGTCCTCAGAAAATTCCAGAAATATTCTTGAAGCCATTCATGCTTTTTAAAGTAGTATAGATTTGTTAACTCTTAACTATATGAGTATTTCATACACTATTGTTTGTTTCAATTTGTATCATATAATGTGATGCTCAATGAGCAGCTTATTTTTGAGAAAGGTGAATGAATTTTATATAATAGTAACAAGTGGCACTTGTTAACATTTCAATTTGGTGTTTGAATTATATTTGTTATTTATGTAGGTATACATGCTATTTGGGCTTTTTAATTGGGTTAAGCCCAATAGAATGGCCCAAACTATATTTGATTAGAACAAATTTGGTCTAGTTTGGTTTCTATACTAAAATGTTTTGGTTTGATCTGAGAATTTTTCATACTATAATTTATTAGTTTGGTTTAAGATCTTCTCCAAACTCGAACATGAATACCCCTACTTGTCACTTCTAAGTATTTGCTTAAGAATTTTTCTTTTCAAAAATTTTCCAATAAGAAAATTTGTCCCTTTCACATATATTAGCATATTACAAAGATACCCAATCTTATAGCATGATGATGTCCAAATGTGTCAATTTAACAAATAAGTAGGCTATCCTACTAATTAAGGTGTGGAAATGAACATTTATGATAAGTTAAATTTTAATATCAATCAATCGTGTCTAAGATATCGCATAATCTATTTACGTTGTCATTAACTATAAGGGTGTCAATTTTCTCCATCCCGAACGGGTTACCCAACTTCCCCAACCTCATCAGGTCGGGGATGGAGATAGCCTTGGCAGGGATGGGAGGAGGGACAGGGATTGATAGTGATACTTATCCAAGGATGGGACAAGGATGGGGAGTGAATTCCCCATCCCATTCTAACCCCGATTATATATTTTAATTATATAAATACATAATATTAATTATATCATATATATCAAATATATTTAAAATATTTTTACATTTTAATTTTTTTTTTTATTTTAAGTAAATCTATTTTCTAAAAATAATTTTAATTCAAAAATTTAAGGGGTTTAGGTCCCCCAATAGGAAACCCGTCTCTGTTGGTGATCGGGGTTAGAGGGTCATTTTTATCGCTGGTATGGATCAAGGTTGGGGATAGGGATTTGTTTCATTGTTGGGGTCAAGGACGGGGGGAGTATGGTCCCTACCCCATTGCCATTCATAAAAATATTTCCTATTCAATCTCATTTTTGGAAATTTTAAATTTTCTATTCAATTTTCATAATTAATTATAAAAACAATTCTTAGTTGATCCATTTTAAACGATTTTGGGTTAACCCATAGTTAATTGTAAAAACAATTTTCATAATTATGGCATCATTCGAAGCCCGTTGGCAAAAGAATGGAGGTCGTCCATTCAGATTTGATAGCTTCTTCAGATCGTCCATATCTTCGATTAACAGCTTTTCAAATCACCCTTAGCAAAACAGAGGGCGAAGGGGGTGATGGTGTTTAGTCGCCACATCGAAAAGAAGGGGACGATGAATAGGCCCCTTTCACTAGTAAAGGACAAATTGAAAAGGGCTTCAGAGAGACAGTAGTGGTCGTCGATGCTGCTGCCTGTGATTTCTTCAACCTACATGTGGCTTATGCAAATCTGAACCCAGACCTGAGATCGTTTTTCTCCTCAAGGGTGGCTTGTGCAGTGGACGAGAAGGCAAATGGTGATTTCTTCAATCGCCGCTGCAAGCTCTCTCTTTTCTTCGTTCTTCCCCTCTGTTCGTCAACAACGGCGGTTTCGGCAACGTACCCAAAATGGTGGTTTCGGCAACATGCTCTCTAAAAACATGGATGATTGTCACTAGCAACAGTGGCAACCATCGGCGGAGAACAGCGGTGGATCTCCCCTTCTCCTTTTTTTCCTATGTGTTTTGGTCGGACCAAACGGCAGATCAAGCAGCGGTGGATCTCCCCTTCTCCTTTTTTTTCCTGTGTGTTTTGATCGGACCAAGCGATTGAGTGTAGCGGCGGATCTCCCCTGTTCGTCTTGTTGAAGTTGTCCGAAAGTCGATGACTACTGCAACATTCAATGGATCTTATTCCTTAAGTTCCTTTCAGTGATGAGGTTCTTTGATTAGTACTTCTATCCTCCCAACCTCCAAAAAGCCTTTAGCTTGTCTTTTCCACCTACCAAGTGGCCGGAAACAAATTCCATATCTTGCTCAATTAAGAAATAGTTGTTTGTACCCAATCTCTCTCACCGAAGATTTTGTGAGGGAGTCTTGAGTGGTCATCCTGTCTGACTGCTCCATTAATCCATCCATTTGCCGAGACCTAAGAGCAGAATGCGAACCCCAAAGGATTGTGGCTCCTTAGAAATAGCTTGTCGATGATCCTTGTGAAAAGAATTGTTCTCGGGTTTGGACCATCTGGTTACAGGACGAACAAAACCAAACGGATGCTTACTCATGAAACATAAATAGTCACCGTGTAGGTACCTGTCGCCGTCGCGTGCTGGGCTAAGCATTTGCTCGTCCAGTCTCCTGTGGGTACAGTTTTGTTCAATCATGGCTTCTTGCTCCCAAGAGAGGTTTCTCTGGCCCATAAAAAACTCTATATTCTTCTATTTTGATTAGAGGGAGAGAGACAGAGAGACAAAGAGAGAATTTCATGGACCTTTACTCTGTCCGTGAACCTAACAACGATGGAAAAAAGGAGAGAGAAAGAGGGAGAGACCGATGGGGAAAAGAGAGAGAGAAACATGTTTAAAGGGTAAAATAATCCTTTTAACTTTTTATTAAGGGGAAATTAACGGGTGTTAACGATAAGGGAAGTATTAGTCAATTGTTAGAAACAATAGGGGTAGCATTAATTAATTTTTAAACAGTAAGGTTCGCTAAACCATAAGATTAGTTTAAAAAATTTATCCTTTTTATTATTATATAAAGTTCATATGTGAGAATTTGCAAGTTGATTTGGTATCCATTTTATATTAATAAAATATTATCTAAATTTCTTTTCACTTTTTTTAATAATCTCTCAAACTTGCCATGACTTTGTGGATACCTTTGGAGACCTTTTTTGTCATACTTTTTTTATTTATAAATTAAATCAACATTAGTGATCTACACGCACGATGCAACATTATCATTTTTTATAGATAAAACTAACCTAGATCAATCAGTCTTGTTAACTTATTTTTTATATGATAAAAAACCAATGGTTCAATTCAAGTAAATGAATGAGTATTTTTAAAGGGAAAATTCCCGATTAGTACCATGTACTTTGGGCCTAGTGCCATTTTAGTCCCCAAACTTTAAAATGCGATAATTCAGTACCCGAATGTCAATTTAGTACATACCATTAACTAGCCATTAAGTAGCATTTAAAAAAGACATAAATGCCCTTAGAGTGTCATCTAATTTTCTTTATCAACCATCTAAACGTTGACAAAAAATTAACAATCCCAAGTTCTTACTTCTTTTATTCAAGAAAATTTGGGGCATATCTCAACAGACATTCTAGACCCCAACTTTCTTAAATAAAAGAGGCAAAAATTTAGGACTATTAATTTTTTGTCAATGTTTGGGTAATTAATAAAGAAAATTAGATGACACTCCGAGAGCATTTGTATCTTTTTCAAAGGCATTTAATGACCGATTAACAGTTGGTTAACGATAAGTTCTGGATTCACATGTTTTAAAAGTTCAGGTATTGAATTGTCACATTTTAAATTTTCCCCAGGTTACTAATCAGGAATTTTCCCTTGATTCGAAGAATAAAGTATAATCTTGTAAACACCGTTTGATAGAACATGTTTGACAAGTGGATTATTTCCGGAGAAATCAAAAAGTGGAATGATGGAAAAAGTGAAGGGGATTTTCAAATAATAACCCGTTTAGTCTTTAGATTTTAATATGTGGAATTTTTGGGTTCCAGTCACCTTATTCACAATAAAGAATACCACATAAGATAATCTAAGTCAATTTTGATTTTTGAACAATGACCTGTATTGATGGAACAGCTTTTGATTTGAGTACCTTCGGAGGGGTGTAAAGGGCATTCGAAGATCCGACCTCAAATTCGAAATTCGGCGTAATCGAATCGAATTCGATAAGTGGAAGAATGTTGCATGTTTCCTAAGATTCCCTTGCACACTATTAGACATAAATCGTGTTTAATTTTGGATTTCTAGTTCAGTAGTTCTGGATGCTTCATCAGTTAGATGGGGCCATGGGCTTCTGAGGCCCATTCAATTGGGAATGGATTATGGATGCAATACTAGGATTTTATATTCATCTACCAAAAAAGAAAAAAAAAATGGAATTGTAGGATAAGTGTAATGAACTAATGATAGACTACATTGTTACCTGATAGGCTTCACTCCAGCTGCTACACTTACCCGAGCTATTGTTGTATTCCCTAACTAAGAGTCTTTTCCTCTGAGTGTTTGTTTTTGTGGTTCATGAGTATTCCATTTAAATAAGCTAACAGAAAAAGCAAATGATTTTGCAGATGAAACTAACGTTTCTTCTTTCTTTGATTCCTAACTTGAAAAAATCCAATGCCAAGATGACTCCACAGAAATCGTTTATGCTACATATAAGATGCAATATCAGGAGAAAATTCACTGACAACGAATTACAGATGATGCATTCTAAGGCAAACCAAATGACTAGGGCATATTGAAAATGCTTACGAGGTGGTCCGTAATGATATCACGTCATGTTACAGGCACCCTATTTTTTCCTAGTCAGTACTGTTTGTTATGAACAGCCAAACCATGATCATCAAAATTGTATATCTTTCCAAGCTCAGATGCACAACCCTAACCAGCAAGGACCAAAACAAGGCCAGTTTGCTACATTTTCATGCACGTAGAATCGAGGTTGCAAAGCCACAGACGCCTTTGTGCAGAAAAAGACCGGATACAGGATTCTTCTACTTTTTGACTGGTAATTGGCCGCTACCTTGCTGCAGCTCTTGCACTCATGGATGAGTGGTAATTGGAGCTCCTTTGTTTCCTATAGGAAGTATAAACATCATCATATTGACTCACCTCATTTGGATTAGCTGTGGCCCCAAGTCCCAAACGTCCAGAACCACTTGATCCCGGTTTCCGTTCCACACTTCCATCCGCGTAAGTTCCTGTCTCAGGGTCCACATTCAAGCTTGGAGGAGGAGGAATACATGCCCCTCCCTTCCGAACTGGAGACTGCCTTTCATACTCATCATCTTCCTCATTTGAGTCCAATGGTTTCATGGGCCCTTTCGATGGGTTAACCTCTCCAATCTCTTTGAAATATTTTGAAACTCTCTCAAGAATATCTGAAGGAGATATAGTGGATGGAGGGATTACAGTAGGGATGTCCAAAGGGCTCATGGGAGAGTAGGGTACCCCACTACCAATCTGCATCTTTTTTACCATTCCAGGAATAAGGCCAGGTGGGAATAAGGGATAAGGAGGTGCCTTTTCCCCAATGTTAACAGCTGAAGATGGTAATAAATGGGATGCAGGTGGTTGATTGGCTGGTTGAGCAGGGGTGGGTGGTGGTCCAGACCCCACAAAAGGGGTAGCCGTGACTGGTGGGTAAATACCAGGTGGGACTGAGCTTGAAAGAAATTGCTGAGTTACAGGAGGTGCAAATTGGGAGGTTGACAGGGATGATTGCAAGACTGTGGTAGGAGGCACTTGTTTATCTAGTTGCTCCTCATCTGGGAATCCTGGCACAGAACTTCTTGGCTTGTCAGACTGCCATTGAGGGAGATTTTGAGGGGGCGTTTGCTGTTGCAAGGCTGCATAGAAGACAAAATAAGATATCTGATTATCTAACATGGAACTTCGTAATTGTGTGTATGCATGTGTATTTTATATACAAAGAAAAGCTCTCAGACCAGAAGACTTCTTCTGTTCTTCATTAGACATGTGGTCACCTATCATCTAAAAAAAAGGTATTCATTCTGATAGCATTTCATTGGAATAGTTCCCCTGTACTAAGTACAAAGTACAGGGTGGCTATTAACTAGTTTCAAAACATAAGTACAAAGTACATGACCAGGAGTATGTGAAATATATTAGTATCTATGTATGTATATGCATGTCTTTGTCTGTATGACATATAAAATCAGGAATACAAAAACATATATATGCAATTATTTATAAGCAAACTCTAGTCCCTTTGAGGATAAGTGGAATATGCACCACTTAGCTTGCACAAACAGGAGAGAGAGAGGGGCGGGGGGACATACCTGCAGTGCTTGAAGGATCTGCTAAGGTAGCAGATGACTCCTTAGGAGGCTGTGAAAAAGAATTACCAGGAAGTCTAATCATCTCACCCTCAAGTGCATATATAGTATCATGATCATAAACTTCCTTTGAAGCCCAAAACTGTAAAATTTTTTGCAACTTAGGCTGATTTGCCTCTTTATTTTGTGGGTTGTGGTAAATCCTTGCAAGCATGGATCCAAGAACAGGTTTGAAGACAAGGGCCTCATTGTCAAGGTCACAAGGATTGACTCGCCTCTGCAAGCTGCACCGAATGTCATAAGTATCAGTATACACAGCTGAGGCAATTCGCATTAATATAAATAGTGTTACGGAAAATAGAGTAAAAGATGAGCCTGTCAGGAGTACCTGTAAACTTCATTTATCTCCATAAGAAAAGCATATACATATATATATATATATTATAAAAAAGCAGTAAAAGTTGAAAAAGAAAAGCATTATGACAATGCACAAGCTAATTACTTCTAAGTTTCTCCTAGGAGCCAGACCAAATAGCAGATATCTCCTCCAAGGCTTGGGGAAGAGATTATCATTGTTATGTTGTGAGAAGTGTTGCATGGCATCCAACCTTTGGAAGATTATCCGAAAATTGGCACATGTCCATGAGCCAACTCATCTTTTTTTATTTTATCAGTAAAAAGAAATTTCATTAATGGAAAAAGAAATTAGCGGGGTTACAGTATATGAGTAGCCTCAGCTACCGCACTACAATGTAATGTATCCACTATTAAATTGATTTTTCACACTTACAGTTGAGCCCAGAAACAGTGATCCCTGTTCACCCCTTGTTTGGCTAGCTGGTCTGCAAATCCATTTGCTTCTCTATGGGTCCACTGAATTGAAAGCTGCATGTCCTTGGATAGACTTTTAATCTTCTTGATGTCATTTCTGAATATCCAGGGTGTGCTGTCATGTTGTTTTAGCCAACTGATAATAACTTTGGAATCCCCTTCCACAACCAGCCTTTCCACCCCCATCTCCTTATATCCCATATACCATTGCCTTCAGTTCAGCTGTAGTGGAATTTCCGATTCCAATGGGATCCAAATACAGTCCCAACACATTTTCTCTTTCATTTCTTATAACCCCTCCAATTCCAGATCTTCTTGGGTTTCCAAAACTGATGCCATCAAAGTTTAATTTGATATGTAGAAACCACTGATGTGGTCCCCACCTCTTTCTATCGTACTCGTATACAACTACTAGTTATTTAAGTGTCAGTCCACAATTAGTTGTTAGTCTTTTATTAGGATTTAATTTTGCCATGTAAGCAGTCTTATCCTTACTTCAGAATTAATATAAATAGAAAGAGGGGGGTGGCAGATTAAGCATCATCTTCTTTTCTGAAATCCTTCCTTCAAAATCTTCTTCTCTTCTTTTCTCTTTCTCCTCTCATTCTCTCCTCTCATGCTCTTAATTCCCTGTTGATTATACACCACAGCTTGGGCTGTCAGTAGTCTCATACAACTACATGGTATCAGAACCATCCTAGGAAATCTTATGATAGTCTGACATGGTCGGCTGCATAAGAATTTCCTAGGGTTGGAAAATTTCCAGCAAAAGGGATCATCGGCTGAGTCTTGGAGATTGTTGGTGAAGCATCAGAGGATGACCAGCAATCAGGAAGAGTCAGAAGGAAGAATCCTCAAGATTAGGGTTCAGACTTGTCTTTGAAGGTTGCAGCCAGAGTTTTGCTGAAGTAAGTCAATCTTTTCTATTAAAAGGATTACCTTTTCTGGTTATTTCAAAGGTTCGACTGAAAGTTTTTTTTCCTCCCGAACTGTTCTTGATACATTAAAAGAATAGCTTTTTTGTTACTTTAAGATGTGCGGCTGAACTGGTTGTGTTCTTGGCTTGTTTCTTGACCTTTGACTGGTTCTAGGTTCAAGATTCTAGTTTCTTGACTGTCGCCAGTTCTAGAGCTGCAGTTTCAGCCTTGCACTTTCAGCCCTGCGCTCTAAGTTGTACTTGGAAGGTTATCTTTTTGGGTGGATTGCCGACCTAGAAGGATAAAGTAGGTTCGGCTGATAGCAAATTCTGGGTGTAATTGCCTAGTCTCAGTAATACAAAAGGCATTTGTTAATCTTTTCTTGACAAAGAATGGAGTTTAAGAACCAAGGGGAACACTATTTAGGGGCTGATGGTGCTGGTAGCATACCTGAGAACAGTTTTCAGATTACCATTGTAAAATTTGATGGGTCAAACTACCTAGAGTGGGCCCAATCATCCATGATGGCTATTGGGGGTAGAGGAAAGCTAAGTTATTTACTGGGAGATGTCAAGGAACCAGCCAAAGAGGACCGAATATATATCAAATGGGTTCAGGAGAACTATTTGGTTATGACATGGCTGTGTAACTCCATGCAACYACATATCAGCCRAAATTATTTATGGGCAAAAACAGCTAAAGAAATTTGGGATATCATGAAAGAAACCTACTCCCAACCCCTCAATGTTGCTAGGGCCTATGAGCTAAAATGTAAGGTGAATAACCTTAAGCAAAGAGAGAAGCCAGTCTCGGTTTATTTTTCCACCTTGAAATCCTTGTGGCACGAGATTGATCACTTAGAAACAATTGAATGGGAAAGCCAAAAGGATGCACAGACCTACAGAAAGCAGGTTGAAACCAATAGGTATTTGAGTTTCTAGCTGGTCTGAATTCTGAGTATGACATTCTTAGATAACAGCTTTTAACAAGAGACAGTGTGACTATCACAAGCTTACTCTCTAGTGCACAACGAAGAAAGTAGAAGGAAAGTTATGTTACAGCATTCGCCACTTGAATCAACCTTGGCAGCAACTAAACCCAAGTTTGGGGGGGATAAGGAGAGAGATATGAAGAAGGAAGACAAGAAGGACCTAATATGTGAACATTGCAAGAAACCTAAGCATACCAAAGAAACTTGTTGGAAGCTACATCCTCATCTAGTTCACACAAAACTCAGGAACAAAAAGGGGAATGCTAATACAACTGGTACTACTGATTGTGCAACCTCATCAGGCACAAGAGCAGCACCACTAGACACTCTCACTACTGTCCGAGCTGCATTGACTCAGTTGGAAAAGGAGGTTGGTAATTCAGCATCATCATCTCAAACAGTCACAACATTAGCTCCTCCCACCTCAGCATTTGCTCATTCAGGTACACGGGCCTTAACTTATCATGCTTCAACTCCAGGTAACACTGAACATTGTTGGGTAATAGACTCAGGTGCATCTAATCATATGACTGGTTTGCCTTCACTATTTACTASCTAKYACTTATCCTCTRGTAAAGACAAGGTGTCTATTGCTGATGGATCACTTGTTCCCATTTCTGGCAAGGGGGACATCAAGTTGTCTAGTGCCATTTCCCTATCTTCTGTTCTGCATGTTCCTAAACTTAGCACCAATTTACTTTCAGTTAGCAGCATTACTAAAAACCAGAATTGCTCGATAACATTTTTCCTGATCGATGTGTTTTTCAGGACTTGGAGACAAGCAAGGTGATTGGGACTGGCCAAGAGACAAATGAAATCTATCTGCTTGGCGGAAGTTCACATTGGGACGGTAGTGAAGTTAGAGGGTCTTTTGTTTCTCAGTCTATTGGTCAAATCATGCTTTGGTTTAACCGATTGGGTCATTTATCCTTAAGGTCTTTGAAAAGCTTGTTTCCTAGTTTATTTGAATCTATCTAGATGTCCAGTTTAAAGTGTGAAAGTTGTGAGCTTGCAAAGCATTGTAGAACAACCTATTCATTAAGTAATAAGAGAAGTAGTGTTCCTTTTGACATTGTGCAACCGATGTTTGGGGACCATATCACATCACTGCTATGGGGGGGTACAGATACTTCTTGCTATTTGTTGATGACTACACCCGGTTTTCTTGGGTCTACTTGATGCGTTCTTGAGATGAGGTCCCTACCCTAATCCAGACCTTTCATCATATCATTTTAACCCAGTTTGGGGTAAAAATCAAAATTTTCAGATCCGATAATGCGAGAGAATACTTTAAAACATCACTAGCCTCTTATTGTCTTGACCATGGGATTATCCGTCAAAGTACCTGCCCTCATACCCCTTGGCAGAATGGGGTGACTAAGAGAAAGAATAGGCACATATTGGAAGTAGCTAGAAGTATCATATTCAACTCCAATGTGCCTATACATTTCTGGGGAGATGCCATTCTCACAGCTGTGTATCTCATCAACCGAATTCCTTCACGGATTCTTGACATGAAACCCCCATTCACTCTTTTATATCCTGATAAAGAGTTGTTTTCTGTCCCTCTTAAAACCTTTGGTTGTACCTGCTTCGTGCAAACTCTTGGCCCTCGCTATTCCAAATTTGACCCTAAAGCCTCAAAATGTATTTTCCTTGGTTATGCACAAACTCAAAAGGGATATTGCTGCTACGAACCTGCTTCAGGAAAGAGATTTGTATCCATGGATGTTATTTTCTTTGAGGATGTACCTTATTACTCTAGGGTTTCTTCTCAGGGGGAGAGTAGTACGGTTGGGGTTAACACATCAGAGAAGTCCCTTTACCTGTTCCATTGAGTGAAGAGGGGTGTAATGGGGAGGGTTGTAAAAAATGTCGGGATTTGAGAGTTTATCACAGACGATGGAGGCAAGTTGATTTCGGTCATCAACAGTCCAGGCCAGCCCCAATTCCTTCTGAAGATCCAAATCCAGGTACTACATCTCTTCCAACTCCCATTACAGATGAGCCTTATGCTGTTGAGCCTTCTCCATCTTCTGAGCCCTCACTTCCATTGAATGACCTTGACCTTCCCATTGCAGTCTGTAAAGGCAAACACCGTTGCGCCTTATCCACAGCCCACTGTATCTCACAATTCTTGTCCTATGATCACTTGTCTCCCTCTTATAAGTCCTTTCTTACATCGATTGTTGATATTCCCATTCCCAAAACAATATAGGAAGCCTTGACCATTCCTGAGTGGAAAGATGCAATGAAGGTAGAAATGGATGCCCTTCTGAGAAATAATACCTAGGAGCTAGTTGATCAACCCAAAGGGAAGAAACTAGTTGGATGTAGATGGATGTTTACTGTGAAACATAATGTTGATGATTCCATTGAAAAGTATAAGGCCCGGTTAGTTGCAAAGGGATTTACTCAGACTTACGGTATAGATTACTTGGAGACTTTTGCACCAATAGCAAAAATGACCACTATCAGAGTGTTATTATCTCTTGCAGCCATTTACTCTTGGCCCTTGTTCCAGATGAATGTTAAAACTGCCTTCCTCAATGGAGACTTGCAAGAAGAAGTGTACATGCAGTTACCTCCTAGTCTTTATAGTACAAAGGCAGGTAAGAAGGTTTGTCAGGTGAATAAAGCTTTGTATGGACTAAAACAGTCCCCCAGAGCTTGGTTTTATAGATTCAGACAAGCCCTCGAAAAGTTTAGCTATGTGCAGGCTCAATCAGATCACACTTTGTTTATTAAGAAAGTGGATACTTCCTTGACTCTACTTGCTATATATGTGGATGACATTGTAGTAACAGGGAATAATAACAGCAAAATAGAGTCTCTTAAGAAACTTCTCCATCAAGAATTTGAGGTAAAAGACCTGAGAGAGCTACGATATTTCTTGGGTATTGAGGTAGCTCAATCCAAGCATGGAATCTTTGTTTCTCAAAGGAAGTATGTCCTTGATTTGTTAGAAGAAACAGGAAAGTTGGGTGCTAAGACAACTGATACACCTATTGAACAAAATCACAAAATTAGTGCAGAAGGTGGAAAGCCTCTTGAAGATAAAGCTATGTTCCAAAGATTAGTTGGTAAACTACTATATCTGTCTTACACGACCAGACATCAACTATGCAGTCAGTGTTGTTAGTCAGTAATATGCACTCTCCCAGAACTACCCACCTACTTGTTGTTGAGAGGATATTGGCATATTTAAAGAGGTGTCCAAGCAGAGGTGTACTATTTAAGGATAATAATCACATGAAGATAGAAGTTTATACAGATGCAGATTGGGTCGGTTGTGTTGATGATAGAAGGTCTATCTCTGGATATTGTGCCTTTGTAGGAGGTAACATTATTTCTTGGAGGAGTAAGAAACAAAATGTTGTTTCTCGTTCTAGTGCTGAAGTTGAATATCAGTCCATGGCAAATGGTGTGGCTGAAATACTATGGTTGAAATCACTGTTTGATGAATTGGGTATAACCTATGAGAAACCTCTAATGTTGTACTGTGATAATCAGATTGCTATTAATATAGCTCATAACCCGGTACAACATGACAGAACCAAGCACATTGAAGTCGATCGACATTTTATTAGGGAAAGGGTTGTATCTCAAGAAGTTTGTCTTCCATATATCAGCTCCAACATGCAACTTGCTGATCTTCTCACCAAGGCAGTTTCAAAGAAGTTAGAAGCAAATCTATGCAAGTTGGGAATGACAAATATATATTCCCAACTTGAGGGGGAGTGTAGAAACCATTGATGTGGTCCCCACCTCTTTCTATTGTACTTGGATACAACTATGTGGTCCCCACCTCTTTCTATTGTACTCGTATACAACTACTATGTGGTCCCCACCTCTTTCTCTTGTACTCGTATACAACTACTAGTTATTTAAGTGTCAGTCCACAATTAGTTGCAAGTCTTTTATTAGGACTTTAGTCTTTAGTCTTTTATTAGGACTTTAATTGTTGTCTTTTATTAGGATTTTAATTTTGCCATGTAAGCAATCTTATCCTTACTTTAGAATTAATATAAATAGAAAGAGGGGGGTGGTAGATTAAGCATCATCTTCTTTTCTGAAATCCTTCGAAATCTTCTTCTCTTCTTTTCTCTTTCTCCTCTCATTCTCTCCTCTCATCCTCTTAATTCCCTATTGATTATACACCACAGCTTCGGCTATCAGTAGTCTCATACGACTACATGATAAAACCTGGTTCAGGGGACACCCACTCCTTCAGGACCTTCTTTTTTTTTTGAGGAAGAGATAGCAATTGTCCTCCAATTCCTAATCAATGTTTTAAAACGCGGAGGCGTGATGCGAGGCGTTCCACTACCTAGAGGCATGAGGCGTAGTTCAGAATGCAAGAGCCATAAGCCTCCCAAACACAAGGAGGCGTAAGCCTCCTTAAGAGGAGGGGGGTTAGGAGGAGGAAGGGGACAAGGATGAAGAGGAAGGGGGGTCTCGCTTTTTCTTTATTTTTAATAAAAATATTTTATATTAAGAATAAAGATGCATAACATTAGTTGAAGGGGCAGGGGGCAAACCACTTTCTTTCCCCTTATCTTTTCTTCCCTTCCCTTTCCTTTTCTTTTCTTTCCTTCTCTTTTTTTCTTCTCTTTCTTTTTCTTTCCCTTCCCTTTCTTTACCTTTCCTTTTTTTTCTTTTTTCTTTTTTTTTGTCTTTTTATATAAGATGCACATGAGGCACATGAGGTGTACACCTCTAGCACAACTCATGAAAAAAGTGCATGAGGCATACGCCTCAAAGGTGTCAGCACCTCCGGCATACACCTCAGGGCGTTTTGGAAGTGCCTCGCCTAGAGGCGCACCTCCAAGCGTACACCTCCCACGCCTTTTAAAACACTATTCCTAATCATGTCATCCACTGTAAAATTTGAAAATAAATTCAGTGTTTTCACCCATGAGATCACCTTCATCATAATACTTTCCATCAGTTCTGCCTTGCATCTTTCCTTATCTTCAAATATTCTCCGATTTCTTTCCTTCCATAGTACCAATAGCACTGCTGCCCATCTCCACAGTATTCTCCCTTTCCGCTTTGGCCATCTAAAAGTAGATGGCTCAAACAATCTTTCCAAGCTCAGCAGGGTGCCCCACCTGCATCCAAATATGTAGAAAAACCAATCCCAAATGCTAGTAGCAAAAGGACAGGAAACAAGAATATGAAAGGCATTCTCACCAAGCACAATAGCACCAAGCAAGAATAAAGCACCAGATCCATGAGCCAACTCATCTTCGACTCTCCAAAATATGTCTTGGACTCAGCTACAGTGTCAACCAGGTAGATTTACCAAAATGCTCACCACATAGACTCGCCAAAATTATAAATCCTCGCTTTAAACACTTTATGTAAAAATACTCCAAGCATTTAAACTGTCCAATAGGGCACTCTAATGTTTGTATTTATTCAATTTATAAATAACTTATGATCCATTTTTGTTGGATCTTTTCCAATTAACGTTAAATTTAGAAAAAACAGTGAAAACAACTAGTGTGTACATGTGGTGTGGCAAATAGGAAAAGGTTGTGAGGTTAACTTGTCAATTGTAAAAAGAATTTAACTATTTAAGTTTTTATGCTAATATAGCTCTATGAGTTTTAAAAATAATATTAAAAAACATAATGTCCAATATATACATATACAAAAAAACTTATTTATGTTAGGCACATATAAGAATCCAACATTTTTGGGTTCACCATGTTGGACTCCTAGATATGTGTCAGATTCCAACTCCCATGTTGGAGTCCAAGCAACACTGGTTGTGAGTGATTACCATCTTGGGAACACTCTTCAGTGAATGTGTTGCTTCTTGATTGTGCCAACCCTCCATCCCATACAGAATGATTAGAACTTTAGCTGTCCTACAGAGTTTTTCCTTCATATTTAATTGATTGAAAAAATTACATAAGAAAGTTATAAGAGCAGAGATAAAATACACAGAGAAAGCACCATGAATATAAGGCTTAATTTTAACTGATGCAAAAGAAAATCCAGGTTGAAGTCTCAAGTTTCATGGAGTAGAATGCAACTACCAAAATGAAATTCAGCAAGAAATAACTGCATGACAGTCAGTAGCATAGGTTTAACAATCTAAAATAATATCAAATGTATAAATAATGGCTGGTATTTTAGTGAAGAAGAAAGCGCAATGAGGGGAAGTGGGGGGCACAATGGAGTTTGGAAACTATTAACAAATGTGAAGAAGAAATAGCAGATCTATTTTACATAATTAGCAAGTCAAATGCCTGCACCATGAAGACCAATCAAAATTAAACAGCTGCAAGGTATAAATGTTGTATTAGGGTATTAGGGAATTACCTGTCAAAAAGAATGTCATTTGCCAAGTAAATTATATGCAATTGTCTCTCAGAATCATCAAGAACAAGCACCCTATCTCTAAGGGCCTCAGCTAGAGCTGGTGCAAATGGAGACCTCTGCATAAACCAAATCTTGGCACCTTTAATCGACTCCTTCGTACCATTCAGATTGTTGAGCACATTATTGAGCTCAGCAGCAACATCAGAAGGAAGGGGTCCAGAGAGACCCTTGAAGGAATTGGTCAAAGGATCATAATCTGGTCGAGGCTGGCCAGAGAAAGGTTGAACATGCTGCTGGTGGTCATAGAATGGTGGAAAAGGAGGCTGATGTAATTGGTGAGCACCCAATATTCCAGCAGCAGCAGCAGGAGCATTCAAGGGGGGAGGATTTAAGGGAGAACTATTCATCATGGGGTTCAGAGGAGGCATCATAGGTATAGAGGATGAAGAGAAGGAAGGATTGAAAGGAGCACCTGAGGAACTTGTAGTTAACCAAAGTTTGTAGCGGTAGTAATCATGTCCCTCAGCACCAACGAGGAAACCATAAGCAGGATTATCTCGCTGCTTCTCACGGATCATGGCTTCAAATTCAGGGCCATTCTTAGCAGCATATTCTACAAGTTTATCAATGCGTTTGTGGAGCTCAGGATCAGATGGGGGAGCAGCTGGGGGTGGAGCAGAATCAAATGGCCCAAGGAAAGGTGAGGGAACGAGGTGATGGGGAATGTGAGGTGGGAATGCTTGTGGTGGTTGTTGCTGTTGCCGGAGATGAAGAAGATGGTGTGGATGAGGGTGGAGTTGCTGCTGCTGCAAAGGCCGATGGAAAGGAAACTGCTGAAGAGAAGGATGTGGAGGTACAAAAGGAGGACCATGCACCTGCTGAGGGAACTTCTGGTGCTGTGGATGAAACCCAAACTGCTGTTGCTGTTGAATATTGGCTGCTTGCTGCTGCTGCTGTTGAGCATAGGCCATTGCCGCTGCATAGTCATGAGCCTGTCGATCCATCACTGCTGAGATGGATAGGGCGGTGATATATAAATGGTTTATAGGAAGCTTGTTAGACTCTATTCACCTGAAAAATACCCCTTTATTATTGTGAGGAAAAAGTTATTGCAATGACTATCCAAAAAGGAAAAAGACTCGCAAGAAATAAATTAAGCACAGAATCCTAATGAAAGGTATTGACTGCGAAGACACTCAACATACTTCTTGAGAAGCATTATCAAAGGATTACAAAGAACATCAAGTGAATGGAATAAGACGAGGAAACAGTGTCTTCCTATCTAAAACCAAGTGCCCCCAAAAAGGGAAGGAAAATAAGCACTATCCACCACATACATAATCCCAGTTTTAACTCAACTCCCAACTGACAACTCAAAGGTTCATACAGCACATAGAAACATTAACAAGTGATGAATCTCAAAATTAGGCGAGAGAGAGAGAGAGAGAGAGAGAGAGAGAGAGAGTCGCCAATAAAGGAAAATTATTCCATTTTCACTTATCCGGAACTTCAGAAACTGATTACTAGTCAGTTTGTGAAGTGCGCAGCCAATCTGATGTAAAACTGAATACTAGTCATAGCAAAGAACAAATTTTGATAACCTCAACGTTATAAAAAATCAACCATTCGAACATGTAAACTAAGTTAACTAACCAGTAGGTCATTTGTACGCTTATACAAATTCCTTGAATAAAATCCATCTACCAACTATAGAATGTAAAAAGAAAAAACTACAGAATTAAAGAAAAAGGAGGGCCGAAAGATCTGTCAGTAATAGGATCGAGAAACAAGCAAAAAGCGCAGTCTTTTTGGTTATAGAACTTCGAGCAAAAGCAATAGATATTCCATGCTTTTATCAAAGGAAATCAATCAAATTTCATTCCCAGAAAAACCTGGGGCTCCAAAACAAATGCAGAAACTCTTTAGGGCATCGATAGCAAAGGAAAAAAGATTGACTGACCTCTTCAAGTAGTAACTAATCCAGGCTTTCTTCCTCGGTCCTTGTGGACGAAGTAAAGACCGAAGATATATGAGAAGAGGATTTGATTTGACGCAGCTCAACACCTTAGCTAGGTATCCTAGATTTCCACCAAGCTGGAGAATGGCAATTGGCATGGAAAGCTACGTGTTAAAGAAAAGGGGACACGTGGGTTGAGTCAGTGATGAATGGTGATTTGGCACGACCTAGGAAAAAAGGGACACGTGGGCGTGATCTGATCAAGGGATGACCAGCATGGTGAGCCTATTCCGCAACATTTGGAGCTCGTGTATTCAGCCACCTCGGCCCAAAACCCACCTCGGTATAGAGGCACCTCGACATTCAATCTAGTTCGAAATTAAAGAATCGAAGTATCAGCTCGGAGCTAATGACCTGAATCGCTACGTAATTGACTCCAGAGACCTCTCCAACAGATCCCAAGTTTCTCGAGATCACGATGAGCTAACAGATCCTCGACTTTTCCAAGATCACGATGAGAACTCATCCTGGTTTCACCAAAGTCGAAGGTGAAACAATAAACCTTATCTACTTATCGCTCCTTCAAAAGCGGAACGAACCTTATCTCCACACCCCAGAGATCCCGGAGCTCTTTCGTGAGACCCATGACTATTCCAGTATATAAAGACAGGAACCTCAAGGCAAAGGTACGCGTGATTACTCTACTCTCTAGCACTCAAGCTCTCAAGCATTCAGTTTGCATTTACAACATACTTACTGACTTAAGCATCAGAGCGACTTCATTGGGTTAGCTACACCGGGTTCTCTGATAGATTGTTTTGCAGACCGATCTAGCTCGCCGTTTACCTGTCTGAATCATCCTCCAATTAGGAGTAGTCAGATCGCACACCATCAGTTAGGTTAAGGTTTAGTCCTAACCCAAACTTGGTCTATTGACACCTATATTCTTATGTTCTATCAATGGATCAATGGATCAGATAGATTGGCTCAATCCAACCCAATCTAATATAAATTTATTGTGGACGTATCAGGTCCAATCTAATCCAATAAATATTTGGATTATCAGATCTGGACTGATCCAATTCAATATGTTTGTTGGTCTATCCAATCCGTCCAAATTGATTTTTGTTTAGACGGATCTAATTCAAAATTGGTCCATTAACACCCCTAAATCAGGTGCTATTTAAGGGGCAAGTCAGGCCAGGTTAGGCCATACAGGGCCACAAAAATACATGCATGGATATTGGGCTAAACAAAATTGGACTGGATTAGATTGGTAAAAATTGGCTGTCCAAATTTGATAACCTGGGCTGCCAACAGGGCCCTCCCCACTCTGACACAGTAGCTCACACCAAGTTTCGAAATTTTATCATGATCCGATAAGTATCAAATCCATTACAACATCAAGTACATGTGTTTTGGGGTATTTACCTATTTGAAGGGATAGATAGGCCTATGACCTACCCCTGATTTATTTGAGTTGTTGAACTTGAACCCCAAAATCAACCAACATCGGGGTGGGCTGGGTCGGGTTAAACTCAGGTTTGCCCCTTTTTTTGTTGCCTTAAAAAAGAAAATATTTCCACTTAAACTGATTGGGGCAAGGTTCTAAATATTGACACTGGTGATATATCAGCCTGTGTCGGTGTTTCTAATGTTTTATTTATTTTTTTAATTGGTTCAGAAGAACCGATTTAAGGCCTAATTACCCTCTGGACCAATGGTTGATCCGATACAATCCTTATAGGGACGTATCAGAAAACCACTGGCATCATATATATCAACTAATATGAATCGATACGTGTTGATACTAGTGCTTTGGGAGTACTATACCAATGCCACTCTAAAAAATATTATCTTAATGCTTGAGCTTAAAATCATTGATGCATATACACATGTTAATAGATGCATACAGACATGCTTATATGATACATATGCAAATATCAACAGACAGTATTGGGTTTCTTGGTATATGGTTTGGATTGGGCTAGGCTGCCCTAAGGCCTCAACCTAAGATTTTTAAAAAAGAAACCCTATATTATGGATAACTTATAAATTGAAAAATTAAAAAACTACAATCTTGTTCTTTTTTTTTTTTTTGTTTTCCGGTGAGTGTAGTATTTAATAGAACAGAACTATAATCCAACGCTGATACTACTGATATTGAGTTATTGCCTGTAGGATGCAACAGTACATACGACCACTTAAGAGTCCTTTATTCGATGGACAATCCAGATTGGCAACGAAATTTCTCTACGTGGCTAAAATAAATTAAGTTGTCTGAGAAAACCCACATGACTTGACCCAACCATCTTTACTATATAATATCGATACTTGTCTCGGCCTCACATCCAAATGACCACCCAAAAACTTTGGTCCATATTTACTTTCCTGTATGCACATGCCGCTCAATTAGACTGTGGTTGAGTGGCATGTGCGCAACCTTGTATTGATTATTTTCATGACCAATATTTGACCTTTTGGGTTGAAAATATTTTTTCCATAAGTAGAGCATAAGGAGAGGGACTTGAACACTACTTTTAAGCTCTTAAAAAGTTTATCATATAGGCCTTATTTGTTTTTCGGTAAGTTATTTATCCGGATAAGTGTTTCTCAGAAAAGACTTATTCGGGTAAGTGTATTTATCCATATTCTCTTATTTTCCATGTAAATAAAATAATGACCATTTTAGTCATAATAATCCATTATCAAAGGAACATTTTTGTCCCATTCAAGACAATTTTTCCCTAGGAGATGGGCCCACATAAATCTAAAAAAGAACATGGGTTTCTTGATCAATGAAAATCAAAATCCCATTGACCAACTTTCCCCCCTCTCAAAAAGTCCCCATATAAGATTCCTTTATGCCCTTAACTTTCTGTTTCTTATTTTCCATCAACCCAAACGCAGCCTAAATGACCCAACTAGCAAAGGAACAGTTTTCTGGATCAAGTTGTCTAACAAGGAAGGTCAAATAACCAAGGAATATCCAATGTGACAAATTTGCTTGAGGCTCAAAATTTCCCCACAAGGCATTAGGTGCATATGACTATCCTCTATTAGTGGGCAAATTTTAGCAAAAACGTAGCCATATGGCCAAAATAATCCATGCTTTTTTGAAAAGTTTAATATTGAAATATTAGACTTCCAACGATCAATATTACATGTCCAAAATTCTAAAGCTGTGTTTGATATTTTGAGAAGGGAAGAGAAACAGAAGGTTGAGGGAAAACTCTCTTATTTTCTGTCAAACCGAACATATTAAAGGTGGCATACAAAGCAAATGCAGAAAGTCGTCATAGTACCAAATAGACAATCAATATAGAGGTTCCCTCTGTGACTCAGATTGGCCATGCCATCACTCCGCATAGTGAAAATAAGGGAGTCCATTTACTAGTTAGGTCATCTCTAGAGCTTCCCTGGCCAAGGAATTTTACATATAAAAATTGGCTAATATGTGCTAATTGAAGACGTTCATTTGCCTTGCTTGATAGAATGATGCATTTTCCTTCCGTTTGTTTTCAATTCATTAGTAATGATTAATTTTCTGAATCTACGAAACAAGAGCAACTCGACAATCCAGAAAATGGCATTCTCAATCTAATCAAAGAAATTGGAATTTTGTTGGATTGGTTCAGTTCCTCATCATCCACAAGCATAGAGGTATTCCATTTATTAATAAGGTCGGGCCCTTACAAATTACAGCAAACAATTACTTGAAATGTTGGTTATTTGAACATAAGCAAACTGAAATTAGCTTTGTGTGATCATTGGAGTTTTACATCTTCCACCACCATAAGAATCATCCCGTAAGTTATGAGTCTCAGATATTTGCATATGCCCTGCAAAAAGCATAGGCAATAGCTTATATCATATTGAGAACTGAAAGTAGGTGAATACCCGCCAATATGGGGTTGTCATAAGTGTAGGCAAAACCAAAGAATCTTTATCCATTCATACTTTCTGTCGTTTCAGAATTTGGCTACTCTTTTTAAGTTCCAGTCTGGTGGTTATCATCCTAAACAAAAAACCAAGGTTTCAAGCACTTTTTTCACTTTCATCAATGATTTTCACTCTACATATCAGATTATCTAGAAGATTATAAGCAAAACGTACATTATTGTTGTTGAGAAAGAAACCAACAGGAATCACTGGCAAGAAGATCTCTGAAGAAATTTAATTATCATTGGAGAGCCTTCTGGCAATTCCAAAAGTATATTAACACCAGATGACACACCGTTCCCGAGTACAAAAGGACCTTACAGAAAGTGAGTCAGCTTCACTCTGTCATTATGACATTCTGATGATCAAGAACCACGCATCTTCAAGCAACTGCTATATTTATTTGTAAAGGAAAATTCCCCAAGCGTGTGTGTATGTTGTGTGTTAGGACTTGAGTGTAAATTTAGGAATGTTACCTCTTTCCCGCAATATATACACCGTAAATTATAGCTACCCCCGTGACTGCAGTGCCAAGAGATGTGAGGATCTTCACTGCAGAGACAGCAGGCTTTTGTTCAGGGATTTCTAGCAGATCCTTTATCTGCAATACATGGAACAAATAACCATTCGACATTGGCACCTAAAAATTCATTTTAAACATAGGGAGAGAAAGATGCCCCTAGTCCAGGGGTATGCACTAGTACAAAGGTACACCAGGCAAGGCACGGTTCAAGGTATGCATTACGCACTATGCCTGAACCTAGGCATACACCTTTTTAAGTTGTCTTTTTTTTTCCTATTATGTTTTACACTTCTGTAATGGTCTATCAACTACTGAATTACCTTTTATTTTTACTTGTACACTAATAACGATCTATTAACTTATAAAATAAACAAAAATAAAGACTTTTCGAATACTTAAAGCATTAACTCTAGTAAATAGGTCCTTAAAAGCAATATTTCCACTAAAGAAGCAACAACACAACTAATATATTATCTCCAATCCTAAAGCGTAATGAATTGCAACTAAGATCACAAGACTGATCTCATTATATATACGGACCATAAATTTATGTTGGAGGGCCCAAACCTCAACATGAAGTTGTTTAGGTCAAGTGGCTTTTATGAAGGACCAATCTCTTATGATTAGAAATGCAAGATGCTTAATAAATAATGCAACTAGAAATAAATAAATAGATTGAAAGTTCCACATATGAATTGTTGAATGCGTGAAGCACCTAGGTACAATCCACATATGTTTGCTTTTTTTATCAGCATCCACATATGTTTGCTTTCACTTCCACATTTTCACTTAGAATATGTTTTATATGTCATGTTTATCAGTTTATATATTTTAGTTTGAGCTAAAAGGCTATTTAAAGCATTAAACTTCTTTTAAAGTTCAAATTTTCATGTTTCTTAATGTATAGCTGTTTTTCATTTTCTATTTTAACTTTTTCCCATGCTTTGTATTTTTTTTTTCTGACCTTGTGGCTTGCACTTTTGAAACATTGCTCCCAGGGCATTTTTCCTTTTGATTAATGACTCCAAGTTTATGTTCCCCACTGTCCAGAACTCTAGATGCAGGATGTCTTTTGATTAATGACTCCAAGTTTAATACTTAAAACTCATCAACTCATGATTTATTCATTTAAATTTCAAAATATAAGAAAAGAGACGTTGCTTGATGCAATGGTAAAACCTCGGGTGGACAAGCATGAGAACATGGACTCAAGTCTGAGAGTAGCCACTTTGTGCAAGAAAATTCTGAAGGTCTTATAATTTCAATACAATACGTCCCAGGTGTTTCGGGACCCCTCTTTTTTTAATACAAAATGTGAAAACTATCCAGTCGAATTGAGAAGAGAGAAAGAAAAGAGGGAAGAACGGAGAGAAGAAGAAGAAGAAGAGTGTCGAACTGAGAAGACCAAGAGTCTCACCCAGTCGACCATCTATTTGAATTTGACAAATAAGTATACAAAGACAGAAATGCCCCTGCATATGTAGGAGGCAAATAACTAACACATTACTTAGATGGAAAAGATTAAAATACCCTCTTTAGTCGACTCTAACACTCCCCCTCAAGCTGGAGAGTATTGTAGTTCGGCAGATCTACAAGAGAGAAGAGAGAACAAAGAACAGTGAAGAGAGGAGAGAAGAAAGAAAAGAGAGATCTATTCCAAGAACTATAGCTGGTGGCGCCTAAGTTAATATTTATACTTAGGGCGACCACTCATAACTAATACACTGAGGAAAAGACAAAAAAAAACCTTTTAGTAGGTTGCAGGCCTCTACATACACATTACAATACTCCCCCTCAAGTTGGAGCATATATATCAATCATGCCCAACTTGTCACACAGTTCATTATGTCGAAAATAGTGAAGACCCTTGGTAAGGACATCAGCTAGTTGTTCCTTGGAACTGATGTAAGGAGTACAAACTTCCCCCTTTTCAAGTTTCCCCCTTATGAAATGCTTATCAACTTCAATGTGCTTGGTCCTATCATAAAGAACTGGATTGGCTACAATATTAATGGCTGCCTTGTTGTCACAATAGAGGGACATTGAGCCATCAACCGAGAGGCCTAGCTCTCCAACCAAAATCTTCACCCATAGTACTTCAGCAACTCCATTGCCATGGCCCTATACTCAGCCTCAGCACTAGATCTGACCACTACACTTTGCTTTTTGCTTCTCCAAGTGACCAAGTTCCCACCAACAAAGGTACAATATCCACTAGTTGTTTTCCTATTATCAACTGCTCCAGCTCAATCTGCATCTGTGTAGACTTCCACTTTCATATGATCATGTTTCCTGAAAAGTAACCCAGTTCCTGGATACTTCTTTAGATATCTGAGTACCCTCTCAGCTGCCTCTAGATGGGAGGATGTTGGTGCATGCATAAACTGACCAAGGACACCAACAACATAAGCTATATCCGGTCGAGTCATTGATAGGTAGAGGAGTCTTCCTACCAACCTCTGAAATTTCCTGATATCTATCACTGGTTCTCCAGTACAATCACCAAGCCGATGGTTTTCTTCAAGAGAAGTGTCTACAGGTTTTGCTCCTAACTTTCCTGTGTCCTGCAAAAGATCTAGAACATACTTCCTTTAGGAAATGAATATGCCCCTTTTGAGTGGGTAACCTCAATACCTAGGAAATAATGTAGCTGTCCCAGATCTTTCACCTCAAACTGCATGCAAGGGATTCTTTGACCATTTTAATCTCAGAGTCTCAATTCCCCGTAATCACAATGTCATCAACATAGACAATTAATATCACAACATTCTTCTGGTTTCTCTTGACAAATAGAGTATGGTCAGATTGGCACTGCTTGAACCCAATTTGTTGTAGAGCCAAGTAAAATCTGCTAAACCAGACCCTTGGGGATTGTTTCAAACCATATAAAGATTTTTTAAGTTTGCAAATTTTCCCTTCACACCCTTGTGCTACAAACCCAGGAAGCTGAATCATGTAAACTTCTTCTGCCAGATCCCCATTTAAGAAAGCATTTTTTATGTCTAGTTGGTGGAGCTCCCAATCAAAGTTAACAACTAAGGATAGTATAATCCGAATAGTGTTCATTTCGGCAACTGGGGCAAAAGTCTCTGCATAGTCAACCCCATACACCTGAGTATACCCTTTTGCAACTAGCCTGGCTTTATACCTTTCAATCGACCCATTTGCTCTATGCTTTATTGTGAATACCCACTTGCATCCCACTGGCTCCTTGCCTTCGGGAAGATTCACGAACTCCCAGGTATTGTTTTTGTGAAGAGCACTAATTTCTTCCTTCATTGCCTCTGTCCATTCATGTATAGATAAGGCTTCTGCAAACACTTTTGGGAATAGAGACGGAATCAATGGCAGTCAAAAAGGCACAAAATGCGGGAGCAATGTTTTCATAGGATAAAAACTGAGTAATAGGATGCTTAGTAGTACATGATCGAACCCCTTTTCTATGAGCAATCGGGACATCAAGATCATTAGTAGGATCATCAATAGCAATAGGTTCAATCATATCAAAGGGAACAAGGGTACCTGGATTTTCCTTCAAGGAGTCAGAAGGTGTTGGATGTATAGTCTCAAGTTGCTCCACAGCCTTCGAATTCAGTAGTCCCTTACGGTGTCTCAAGAAGACATGGAATGGAGAGGAGTCGAGAATAGGAGGAAGAGGGATTTGAGGAGCTGGAGCTTGCCTCTCCTCCTTTACACTATTCTCCCCATGAGGAGGGGCTTGAAAGAAGGGTTCTGACTCAATAAAGGACACATCCATAGATACAAAGTATTTAGAGGTGTTTGGATTGAAGCATTTGTAGCCCTTCTAGAAGGAGGGATAACCCAAGAAAACACACGGAACAGATTTGGGGTCCAATTTACCCTGGCTAGGAGATAGATCATGAATAAAGCATTTACACCCAAACACACATAGAGGAATGGGAAATAAAGGGGATTGAGGGAAGAGAAGTTGATGTGGGACCTTGTATTGCAGAAGACATGATGGCATACGATTAATAACATAAGCTGCAGCCATCACAGCCTCAACCCAAAACCGTTTTGGAACATGCATGTGAAGCATCATTCTATGGGCAACTTTGAGGAGATGGCGGTTCTTCCTTTCAGCAACTCCATTCTATTGTGGTGTTCTGGCACATGAGCTTCTGTGGAGAGATACATGTGAAGAGAAAAACTCAGCTAAGTCATGATGGAAATGCTCTTTTGCGTTATCCGATTGGAAAATTTGGACTTCAACATGAAATTGAGTGAAAACCATGCGATGGAAATCTTGCACAATCTTGGGTACCTCTTCTCTCGAGTGCATACGATATAGCCACGTGTATCTTGAAAAGTCATCAATAAAACTAATAAAGTACTTGTACCCACCCTCAGTAGGTATGTTAACAAGGCCCCAAACATCAAAAAAGACTATGGAAAGGCAAAGTAGATCTTTTATTATTCAATGGAAAAGTTGTTCTACAATGCTTACTCAACTGACACGTTCCACAATGCAAACTAGTACGAGACACTGACTTGAACAATTTAGGAAACATAACTTTCAAAGACTCAAAGGACAAATGACCAAGGCGATTATGCCATAACCACAATTGACTGTTTGTAGACTAACTCACAGGCTGACTCATAAGACTCACAGAAACTGATGCCGCAGGGCCAACTTTATTCTCTAGGATGTAGAGACCATCAACCATATTCAAAGACTCAAAGGACAAATGACCAAGGCGATTATGCCATAACCACAATTGACTRTTTGTAGACTRACTCAYAGGCTGACTCATAAGACTCAYAGAARCTGATGCCGCAGGGCCAACTTTATTCTCTAGGATGTAGAGACCATCAACCATATTCAAAGACTCAAAGGACAAATGACCAAGGCGATTATGCCATAACCACAATTGACTRTTTGTAGACTRACTCAYAGGCTGACTCATAAGACTCAYAGAARCTGATGCCGCAGGGCCAACTTTATTCTCTAGGATGTAGAGACCATCAACCATATTCAAAGACTCAAAGGACAAATGACCAAGGCGATTATGCCATAACCACAATTGACTRTTTGTAGACTGACTCATAGGCTGACT